GAACAAACGACCTTCAGAAGAGGTTGTGTTTCTATTACTCAAGTGGGCAGTAGCCCAATGGTCAAACTGATTTGCATACTATGGAGTAGCACAAATTTCGTCATGTAAATGCATAAATGGCAGCGATCTATTAAGAAACAATACACACAAGTTAAAAATAAATCACCACAGATCAACCAAAAACCAATGGTTTTGTATCTTTCTATTTAACATATTCACATTTCTTTCATTCTTTAACTTCTCTTTTCTGTATTTTTTCCATGAACATTTGTGAACTTCTTCGTGTCTCTGTGTACATTTGTTTAGATAAGTTTTTGTTGAAAGTGAAAAAAAAGTCCCTACATAGTTCAGGGTTCGTCTTCCTGAGGTCTGACCCCACTTACCTACAGTGTGGAGCGGGGTTAACACCAGCAAGTGTGCTTTGAGACAGTCCTTTTTGCCTAACAGAATATCTTGAATTCAGATGCCCACTTTCCAGCCACTGTCACTCTTAACTACTCTTGCTTTTCCTTCTCACCCATCCCTGCTTTAACAGTAGGACCGAGTGTGCCTGGGTGGGACATGTGAAATTTTCCATCAATAGAAACAGACCTACGTGATTGTCACCCCGCCTAATCTTGCTAATCTATGTCTCATTCTTTTCCTGGTTGGCAACTGATGTCTCCCAAACTGAGTCCTTTTAATATTTTTCCAAGTGAAAAATGGTACACGTGCACACAGAGAAGATCAGGAAACCTAATGTCATGGCAACCTCTACTCCATCTCTTCTCCCCAAGCAGGCTATATTGACAGATTCTTGAAAATAGAAGGCCCAGTTGCCAGCAAGAAGGCAGAAGCTGCCCAAAATTATGTCTGTAGACCCAAGTCACATCTTGAGAAGAAGTATGGAACCCCATGAAAGTTTAACATTTTTCTTACTCATGTTCACACAGTAAGTGGAAAAACTAGAAATCGAACGTATATATATATGTTCGGTTCCAAAGGCCTCTCCACTGTACTATGACTATGATGCTTTTCATTATCTTTAAATTGGAGGCAGTTCCCTTCCCCTCAATCCACAGAAGGGTTCTGTGAACCAGTGTAAGTGAAGCCAGCCCTGCTCCATTCAGACCAGCAGCTGATATTCTTAGTCACCTTAATCTGTCAAAGCATTTCTTTGGACTGCAGGAAAGACCAGAAATTCATGTAAGGAAAAGACAAACCTTAGAGGCTTCTCTTTGGAGAGACAACGTAGTGCCTGGGGAAACAGGGACTCCAGCTGTAAAAGGTGTGGGTTTGCATCCTGGTTGAGCTGGGCTTGTCAATCATTTTTGGATATCCCTGAAACCCTCAGGATAAGGTAACGCTTTGAGATTTGTGACACCTGGCATATCTTCTCCACAGGCTCCAGTGAGGATGTGAGCACACACGGTAAGGTCAGCCATGTGCTAATACAACCAATTAGAGTTATGGCTGGCAAGCAATAAATAATAGATATTAGCCAATTTCAGTAACCTTCAATATGGTTTTTAATTTACATCATTGGCTCATCCTCTTAATCTCTACTTCTATTTCTTTTTCTCTTCTCTTCACTTTTCTGAAGCTCATTTCCCCCGGAAGCTTTTATTTAAGAGAAGAGAAGGAATAAGATTTTACCTCTAATGAGATCTTTTCTGATTAGGTCCCAGATAACACAGTTTTCTATCTATATAATATATTGGCCCATAATGCCTAGTGACAGGTACTTGAAAGAGCATTCATTGACAAAGTGAGGTTTCAGAAGGTTCCAGAACACACACACACACACACACACACACACACACACACACACACACACACAGAGAGAGAGAGAGAGAGAGAGAGAGAGAGAGGAGAGAATCAAAAATTAAGAACTCTGTTTTACAAACACATACATCAATCATGAAATACAATAATCCAGAGTCAACTTATTTCTAATTATAAAACAATATTACTTAAAATTAGAAGTTTTATTAAAAAAATGTGATCCCAATAATGAAGCCCTTCCAACTAACTTCCTATAACATTTTAAAAGTAAATCGATTTTTTTTTCTATTTATACCTATTTAATGTCATTATTAAATCTAGAGTCAAGCAGGAATTTCAATCAAGGCTACCTATACAAATATATTCTAATTTGTATTTTGTAAGATGGCTTTACAATACTCATGCATTGTCTCATTTCCTCCGTGAATGTTCGCTGTTACACCTTGTGGAGAAGCAGAAGTAACCCACAGTGAGCAGTGCAACGTGATTCTCTTGTCCTGATTACTAAAGCAAAATTAAATTTAATTTCTGTGTTCTCAGAACTTTAGCTCTGTTTGTGTCTTTTGTAAAAATACGTGGTAAGTTGGACCAAGTATTGCCCTAAAACTCTTTTCTTTTTTCTTTTTTTTAGCAAGTATTTCAAAGGTCTGTGAAAAACATCCTATTTTCTGATCATTTTCCTTGGCAAGTTTAGAAAAGGCCACCACCCATGACTAGACGTTATTATGTGCCCCTTACATCTGTAGCATCTGAACGGCTCCAAGGGTCCCTAGTTTCTAAGACACAAAGTTCCTTCTAGGAAAAAAGTGCAGCACTGTCTCAATAATAGCAGACACCACGACAGGCTTATATGGAAGCACACCAGCATTCCCAAACACGCACAAACCCACCACTGCACAAACGGCCACGGCATTAGCAGAACAGGCTGATTGATAAAGTTAATGTAGAAGTCCAGGATTAGCAGGAGCTGTTGTATAACAGGATTACAGGCTGCAATAGTATGTGAAACCGTGCCGTAAAGGAAGAGTATTGGCAAGCCCGTGGAAAGCAAGAAAAGAATATGCTGGGCGTGAGCGACTAGGCAGAGCTTTTAATTTCTGTTTGTCCATGTAAACCCAGATGATATTATCACTGTCTCTAGGTAGTTAGCAGGCTTGCTATTCTGTCCTAAAACTCATCCACTCCCATTTAAACGCCACCACTCTCCACAATGCTTGCAACAGCCAATGGAGAACCATTATGGCCACTACTTGCACTCTGCCTCCCTTTCCTATCTGGACTCTGTGTCAGGCAGCAGTGCATATTTATCACTAGCTGCTGGAGGCCTCCGTCTACCTGCTGTCTGCAGCAGGCACCAAAAGAAACAGCAGCAAATCTGCGAATGTTAGCCAACAGGATAGTGTCCAGGACAGGTGGCAGGGGCTGCAGCAGCGAGGACAGATGGACTAACAACCACACAGACAGACAGCAGCACCATTAGACACCATCCATTACTTCCAGGCTCAGAAGAGGGGAAGCCTGCAGCACCAGGGATGTCATTCTTCCACTAGGGACAGGAAGCAGATTAGTAAGGGTTCTGCCTCCCTCAAGCTGGCAGGCTTAAAGTATTTGTTTTTTTGGACGAGAAGGAGCAGGGAATTCAGAAACCTGCTGCTCTTAGAGAGCCAGGCCAGCTCTGGGCCTTCTAAGTCAATGGCCTTTTATCTTTCCAGAGTCTATAATGAACGAGGAAGAATGACTGAATCTCTATTTTGCTGTGGCTGGACAACCACATCTCTCCCTCTCTACTCTAGACTGCAGTTGCTTTTGCTTGGGGGACCCATAGCCTGAATGCAGCTTGTCCTGTTGGTCTCCTGTGTGGCTCTGCTTTACTGAAGGGAAGGAGACACCTGCCCAGACAGCATCTTCCCTTCAGCAAGCAATTCTAAGAAGTGGGAGAAAGGCCACTCGGGGTGTGCTCTGTGCCCTGGTGTCACCTCCTGCTCCCTCGCTACACTTCCCTGCAAACAGCAAACTCCAGATGCAACAGGTTCCCTTTGGCTCTTCACGCCAATGACCTGCCCCAAAACACACCTTCTGCATAAGCAGACGATACCAAGACATCAGTACCAGTCAGGGTATCTACATACCTTGCCCCAGAGAGAAAAAAAAAAAAAAAAACTTTACTGAATTTGTGAGGACTTCCCAAGGGAAGACAGAGTTGAAATCACCTTTAGCCTCACTCCATGGGCGAGGCTAAGAAGCAAGCAAAGCTTGCAAGCAGTTCTGAAGCAAACAGCAGCACCATGTCACAGACTCCTGCACCACTAACAACCAACCCTGGCCTCTCCCCATCCCCAAGAAAATGGGGCACCAGGCAGAGGTCCCTGCAGGGTGGGTGGGTTCTAAAGACAGGGCTGTGCAGATTCTCAATCCCTGTCGGCATCCTTCGGGAACCGAGAAGGCCCCAGAGGTCTCTTGGAAGCCAATAATGAGGAAACCCTGTTTTATTCAGGCCAGAGTCGTCAATCAGCTTTTGTCATTATCAAAAACTTTGTACTGCCAGTGGCATTACATATGAATAAGAAAATGTGTCTTTATACAGTTATTCTGTGTAGAAGACTAGGACTAAGAGGTTAAAGAGGAGCAGAAAGGCAGGTTACCAAAGATGGCAACTGCCCAAAAAAGACCCAATCTTGCATTGTAAATGAATGAGTACCAAACCGAACACTAAAAATAAGCATTTTTATTATATAAATACCAGCACCGTTCACTGTTGTAACTCAAATGGGCTCAACAACTCCAAAGAGGAGCTTGCCCTCCGCACCCCACACCTCCACCACCACCCTTTTCTCTACTCATTCCCTAGTCCCTAATCTGCCCTCAATCCAGGACCCTTCCATTGGGTGGGATCAGCTTCACTTAGCTCTGCCTATCTCACCCTAAGGTGGTAGCCCTGTCCACCTAGTCCTCCTAGGCACTCCTGTCGCAAACCATCCTCCTGGGGTCCTAGGTTTCCTGGCTCTGTAGGGTCCTTTCCTTCCTCCAGACTCTCAAGTCTCTACCCTGCTCAAGCCCGGGGACCCCAGCCCTAAGGTGGGCACCTCTGCCCGCACCCCTGCACCCTCGGCAGCCCCTCCCCCACACTCAGCCAAGAGGACCGGGTGAGTGAGCGGTGAATGGACGGATGGAGGCACCACCACCGAGGGATGGATGGCGCGCCTTACGGGGGGTGGGGTGGGGGAGAGGGGGCTTACTTGAGCATGGCCTCTTCTTTTTCCTCCTCTTCCTTCTGCCGGTCCATCACTGCCATGATAATGTTCCTCTCTTCCTCGGTCAGGTGGCTCAGGTCGGGCAGTTCTTGCATAGGGGGAGGCACCGTGGGTGGGCGAGGACCGCGGGGCCCCACGGCTGAGGACATTTTCGTGGCCTGCCCGCCCCCTCGGCTCGCTGGCTCTCGCTCTCACCTTTCGGATTCACGCCCCGCAGCTGCGCCCCTGCTTTCCAAGCTCACAGCGAAGCCCTCCTGGCGGCGGCGGCGGCGGCGGCAGCAGCAGCGGAGCCGGGGACAGCGAGGACCCAGTCTCTCATGATGCTCTGCCTCCCGCCGAGCCCGGATGCTGCCTTTGTTTGGGTCGCCC